GTAAGCAGGAATAAGGGTATCACAAGAATCTAGGCTGTTGCACATGACACCCAAATTTAGACAGATTACCAGAAAGAACAGAAGCCCTTTTTTCCAATACCTAAAAGTGTCCCTAGGGTCTGACAGAGAAACTCTGCAAACTTTCCTAAAGTGTTACTAAACCCAGGACCCTGCATTCACTCCATCTGGTCTCCCACTGTACACAGAACATGGAAATGCAATTGTTTTAGTAAATACAAACTGCTAAATATCTTTTCTCATAAGCAGTTAGAGTATTCTTGTGACTTCCATCAGTGTTCAGCAGAGCACTGGTTAAAGCTTGTTGGAGGAGTTTTCTCTAGGAGGATGTAGAACCCCTGACCCCTGTCTGGGCAGTGCTGATTAGCCCTGTGCTGATCACATGCACTCTCCCAAGAAAAAAAAAAAAAAACCTCTCTAGCAATACACACCAAATTGAGCATGTGCAGTGTCTCCACTCAATATGTCTTATCAGGACATAAGAGGGAGACACTGGAAGAAAGGGAGATTCAGAGAAGTCGAGATCAAACAGCCTTTTTACACAATGCAGAGGATTAACCCTTTATGTTCCATGGTGAGTATAGCAAGCATGCTTTACTGCATATACAGACTGATTTTACTGTTGTGGGTTTAGTAACACTTTAACTGTGATTTTAATAAACATCAAACCTGCCCGAAACCAGCAAAGCATCCTCAGCTCAGGAGCAAAGGGCAGGGACACTAGCCATACTGCTAGAAACAATTAGAAGGAGCTTCCTTGTAAGGCTGCAACTCAGCCACATAGATCCTGATGGTCAGGTCCCACAAAGGCCTCCAGACATACTCTATCACCAACTGAGGAAACTTGCAGCAGGGTCTCAGCATACAATTTCTGTGGACAATTCAGGGGAGCACAGGGCCATCTGCTGATGGATATTTTCTGACATTCAGGCAATGAGGAGCACCCAGGTGTGAAGCACTCACACTTACCTGTGGGGATCCTCAGATAAAGAGAGCTAGATGCTTTGTGATGCTTTGTCTCAGGGAAGGACATTGTGGTCAAGAGTAGTACACTAAGCATGGTCCAGAAGAGGGATCAAGTCACTGAACCTGTTACAAGGGGAACTCGCAAACTCTCCAAAAGGTAAAGGTACTGTGAGACTTAGGAGATGTTCATTGGAAAGAGGGGTAGGATACTGACTCACAGAAGGATCCCTTATGAATCAGGAACTGTCTGCTCTGGAGGAACAGACTGAGTATGCCTCCGTCCCTCCAAGCTACCATAGAGACCATCTGGATGTCTTGCCTTGAAATTAGGCTTCCAAACATATAAGGAAAGGCTGGAGGGGGCTGAGAGTCCATGACAGAAAGGATGACTATGTTGGGAGGGCATTCCCTTAGCGCTCTACAAGCCCTGAAAGAAGAAAAGAGGGGATGTTTTCCTGATAGGTAAGGAAGGGTAAAAAGAGTTGACTTCTTTAGTAGGGGCTTGAGCTGAGTAGCCTGGCCCTTTGGTGGCTCACAGATACCAGCATTAGACACCTGAGAAGCTCCAACAGACCAAAACTTGCAGACGTTAGGGTCATCAGAATGGTTCATACATAAGGTCTAGTGCTTTGAGAGGGAACAGGAGCTTCCAGAGGACATTGAAGGGTCAGGTTCTTTCAAGGAATCTACCCTTTCTTACACTTTCTGGCAGATTCAAATCACTGCCTAAACAGCATAGGAAACCACAACAGTTAATTTGAATTTGGATCTAAGAAAGGAATTTAACTGTTTATCAGTAAAATATTAGGTAAGCACATCTTCAACCACTGATTTATACATTGCCTCGGAAAGGGGAAAAGCTCTGACACACTCTTATTTAGGGCTCAGGATCCTTCAGGTGTTTCTATTTGTCATAATGAAAAGATGGAAACAGCAAGTGTAACAGAAATGTCTTTGCAGCTCCAGGAGCTCTGCAAGTTCCTAGGCCTGGAACAGCAGACTGATCCTTCAAATGCAGTGAAGATTGCATTACATCCATGAGTCCTCTGTAGGAAACTGTGGTGCCTCAAAAACAGAGGTAGACTATTGGAACTCTGAAACAAAATTAGAGATCCTACAGGAGCCGCCGGCTGGAGCTTAGAAGTGTCAGAGATAGACTGTGCAGTGGAATGGCTCCAGGACATGCTTAGACCCTCTGTGGGCAGAGTGTCACAATATCTGAGCACAAGAAGCCATAAAGTCCAGAGAGGATGTGGATGTCCTTGTGAAAATGGGAAAGCCTTTGGTCTCACCCAAAACAGACTTCAATAAGGCTATTCCTATAATAGAAGTCCCAGACTCCTTATTTTGAGCATTGGTATCTTCTGTGGATACCAAATAAGCATCCCTAGAACCACTAGGGAAGTAAAGGCAGAGGTTGCCCATGGCAGAAGGACCACCCTCTGTGTGCCTGGGTGAAGACATGTTGTGTCCACACAGCAGTTACAACTAGGCCCAAGTGAAGCAAAAGCTCACATACTCACAAACCCAGGAGGCTGATTCTGATTACGGTTTCAGGTGTCCAGAGGTGACCAGGTCACTGTAGCAGGAACAGCAGCAGAATGATACTTCCTCCAAGCTGAATGGCAGAAAAGGGAATACACAGCTTGCACATGGCTGCCAATGGTAGCTAATTGTGCATCAGCTTGACTGGCCTTATTCAAAAAGTGAGTCTTCAGAGACAGGGTCACACCTGAGTCTGCACCACAGCTCTGGACCCAGAAAGCACTTTGTGGCTAATTAACACATTACGCTTATGTCTGTAAGAGAACACAATGAAGAGCCCAATGCCTAAAGGTCACATTTCAGGCTAGCCCTGAATGTCTAGAGGGGTGAGGGTACAGCTTTTAAAGCTATTGCTAAGGAAATGCCGATGTGGATAACTGCTATGTAGAGGCCAAATCAAGCAGTCTTGTAATAGGAGCTGGAAAAAAGCAACCGTGTCAGCTTTCATAAGTCAGTACATTATGTACCATGTGTTAACCATTAGGGATTCCTGCACATCTGATGTTTAGGCTACGTGTACGATAGAATTAGGATCAGTCCATGGCAGTGACATAATTTCTCAGTTTAGTAATGTCATTGTAGGACTGCTTAGTATGGTTGGTATGTGAGATTGTCAATGTTGGGGTCATGTTGTCCTTAGCGTAAGTCAGCCTCTGTATATGACCCCATGTATTTAGCCATTATTTTTTATTGTTATTATAATTAAATATGCCCTTTCTCTGTTTCTTTGTTTTGCTGGTTTCATTCTGTAAGTCTCCATTCACACCTACAGTATACAGTTTGCTTTTTGTCAGTTTTGCAGGGCTTTTTGCAGTTCATTTTTCATTTTTCGACACGCATTTTTAATGCGTTTTTATTGCGTTTTGTTCAGCTCTTTTTTTTTTGTTGTTGTTGGAGTGGAATTTTTTTTTGTTGCTGGGCAGAATAACAATGCAAAACGCAGCAAAAACGCACTTCAGCAGCTTCTCCATTGAACTTTATTGTAGCAAAAACACTGCTTTTTGCTCTTGAAAATTTTATGCAAAAAGCACTAAAAGCACATTGGTGTGAACGAAGCCTAAGTAAAGCCTTAGCGTTGATAAACGCAGGACTAAGCCTCAAATCCATTGTTATTCCCTCCTACTTGAACACTAAGATGCTGTCTTTGGGTCAGATTGGGAGTGTTTGCAAAGTGATAGAATTTTCATTTTAACAGGTTTTTTTTAATCTTTGTTTGCTTTTCTTTATAAAGTAAGGGTTCATTCACACTGGCAGTCTCGTGGGTAAAAACAGCTTTCCCCAGCTGCAATAGGGTTGTACACAGACCACAGCAAAAATTGTACCCCATGTAGTGTTCAGAGGGAAAAACTGACGCAGAATGTGACCCATTTAAGTGAACCCATTCAGTTTTCCCACTCCAGAGGACGTTTCTATTGCATTCACCAGGGAATCCTCCCTGCTGTCAGAATACAATAGTTATGCAGGAGGGATTTCCCCATCAACACTGAGTGTGTTGATGGGGGAATTAAATCATTTTTTTTTCATTCAGCCACCTAGTTGAACAAAAAAAAATACATCATCTATGGTCTGCCCCACAGTCTGATGGTACAATCTATTTAACATCTAGATATTTCATGGGCTTAATTAACTAGATATACTGTAAACTGAAATTAACTGATTAGGTAGAGCTTGGCACAACATTAATAGAGATGGAGTAAGATAATATACTCTTCTTTCTCTGACATTCATAGTGCTGGTGGTGGGATCATCTTCCTGCATCTTCTTGCCTACAAGATCCCTGGGAATGCCGAGTTGTCCAAATGTGAAAAAAGACACTATAGCACAGTGCAGGAGAGTGGTGACATAGGTCTTTGTGGATCTCAGGGAAACAGTAAATGTTTCCAAAGTTCCACAAAGACCTACAAAAACCCTAGAAGAGTAGGGACATGTAGTGATGTTTTCTTAATTTTCTTGTTCAATCTTTTTATTGACAAACCAACAGAGCATACACATCAACAGTAGCATTAAGTTTACACTGAAGAGTGGGAATTGCAACCACTTCAAGTACAATAAATATCATAATAAAACTGAACAACAACATGGTACAATAGCATATAAATAGTCTAATAGCATCCGCTGGAACTGAAGATAGGGGAGCTGAGCCCTATAGCATTTGAACAGTGTGCTATCAAGTTCACAGTTTTATTTGTACTGGTATATATTGTTACAGAATATCTTGATTGTTACTATTCCAATGTATTATTTGTGATAATTGTTTATTTTAGATACTTTGTACACTTTAGTTGCACATATTTTAGCGTGAGAATAATAGGAGCGCTAGGCTATACCCTTGTTTAACATATTTAAGTAAGGAAAGATAGGGAAGAGCAGAGGTAAATTTATTTTAAAAATGTGAGAAATAAAATCAATGTTTTAAATACAAAAACTACTGCAATATTAGAGCATCACTAAAACTTGGTTATGTTTGACAGATAAGCCCGGTCCAGCTCATATTGTAATGGTCAAGGAGGTCTGGGGCTTTAACGCTCTTGTGGAATGGCAGCCCCCTAAAGACAATGGAAACTCTGAAATTACAGGATACACAATTCAGAAAGCTGATAAAAAGACAATGGTGAGATTTCATTAATTTACTATTATATTTTTTACTACTTTGAAAATTATTTTCTTACCTGGAACCAGTAGTAAGTAGATCAGCCATTTGCAAAGCAGTTTTCCCACACCAGAAGATATTCCTATTGCATTCACTAGCTGAACAAATGTCATGCTGCAGTTTACATTGGAATGGAAAGATATGTATTAATGCCAAAGCAACAGTTTTCATATTCTCATCATCGATGTAAAATGATTAGCTAGCAATAACATTTTTAAGTTGGCCACACAATATAACTCAGCCATAGATGATCTGGATTTGTCTGATTCAGCGGGGCCCGGACAACCAGCTTGTCTGGCTTTTTTTTACTCACTCACTATTCTGAGACCGGAGAATCCTCCTTGCTTTCAGAATACAATAGTTCTGCTGGAGGAATTCCCCCATCAACACCAAGTGTGTTGCAGGGGGAATCAAATCATTTTTTTTTCCATTCAACCTCCTGGTTGAACAAAAAAAAAAAATGTATCGTCTATGGTCTGCCTCACAGTCTGACTGTACAATCTATTTAACAACTATATATTCCATGTGCCTAATTAACGAGATATAAACTGAAGTGAATTGATTAGGTAGAGCTTGGCACTACAACAATGGAGATTGTAGAGACTGTACAGTGATCGCACTGTCATATTGTAAAATGTATGGACAACTTTACACATTTTATAATTGTTATCATCTGTTAGTTACACAAAATGTTACACTTTTTTTCAGATTTGGGGTCCCTGCTACTAATTATCTGAATAGCATATCACAGTAGACCTCTAGGCATGGATATTTTCCATGTTCTGCTAGTTTTTGGCAATCTTCAGAAGAATGTTTCATATGTATATGGTCAGAAAAAGATATTTTATAATTAGTAAACTGGCTATTAACATCACACCCATTGTCAAGACAAGTGTATTATTAAATAAAAAACATGATAATCAACAGAGCCCCAGCAAAGCATGATTGCAACAAGCCAATATTTTAAATGTTTGCCCTGCTAAAGTTGTCTTGACAATTGTGAAGTAGACAGTAAATACTGTTTACCTTAAAACTCACTGATAGAGAAGGCCATTGAAATATTTTTTATGAAGGGACTTATTTATTAATGAGGTGTATAGTAAACGCAACTGAATTTATGAAAATAGGTTGAGAAGGTAAAAATGAGGACATAGTGATGAGTCACCTTGTCATTCAAGCACTGTACATGGATAGGCATTTGTTTACAAGCAATAAATGCATATTCGTTAACCACCTTAATACCAACTTGTCACACCTCCTTTATTTCCAGATTTCAGTGCTGTGATAGTTTGACTGACAATTACAAAGTCTCTGTTAATCATCTGTGACTTTTGCCTATGCTGCCTGCACTGTGTGCATCTTGTTAAACAAAAAGCTTATTTTTTATATAGCCTGTTAGAATAAATGCTGTCCTAGTGGCTGTTTTACTACAACAACTAATGGAGAGGGGGTTAAGTTAAGTTAAACATAAAAAATTGTATTTCTTTTTTCAATTTTTGCATATTTTGCTATTGTTTGAGGTTTATTAGACAGTAGAAAAAAAGACCAAACAATACCCTAAGAAGGCAACAGTAACACAAGTATGTGCCCAGAATCAAAGTGGTCCTAAACGCAGAAGGTTTTTTTTTACCTTAAAGTATTCTCGGCATTAAGGTAAAAAACCTCCTGCATGCAGCTCCCCCCCAAGTCCCCCCTTATACTTACCTGACCACGATCTTGATCCAGTACTCTCTCTGCTCTCTCCCTCCTCACTGGACAGAGAGACATCAGTGGGAACCATTGGCTCCCACTGCTGTCAATCACAGCCTGTAAGGACGGAGTAGGGGATGGGGCTGAGCCACACACTGTGTGTCAATGGACACACAAAGTGCTGCTCAGGAGTGAGCCAGCACAAGTGCCCCCATAGCAAGCTGCTAGCTATGGGGGTACTGAGCAGGGGTGGGGTGGGGCAAAAACACTGGTGGGGAGGATCTGGGCTCTGCTCTGTGTAAAACCATTGCAAATATCAGGTAAGTATGACATCTTTAAGGTTTACAATCACTTTAATAATGCAAATATTTAGACCCTGTTTCTTCCTATTGTCTCAAATAACAATTAAATACGCAAAGCAATCAGCAAGCAAGACCCCGTCTCAATGTGTTATTTAAATTGCTATGTTCCTGTTTCTAAAAAAAAACCCAGCATAATAAACCAACAAAACGCAACCAAACCCTCAAAACACCTAAAATCACCATAATATCACCTTCTCTAATGACCTCAATGTATTTTGCCTATAGGAGAAAATTTGGAAAAACAATTTCAAATTTAACTAAAATTTCAGGGAAGTGAAATTGGCCAATTTGTCTCATGATTAAATCTAACTAGTCCACACAGAGCCTTGAACTCAACTCTATCTAACACCTATGAGATGTACTGAAATGCTGTCTTCTAGCTAGGCCTGAACGTTCTTCATCAGAACTCACTAATGCTCTTCTGTCCCAAGGGAAGTAAATCCCACTACTAATGTTTAGTGGAAAGCCTTCCCAGAAGAGAAAAGGCTGCCCTTGCAAATGGAGGTTCAGATTCACATCAATATCCATGGTTTCAGAATTACATTATGGACAGGCATGTGTCTGGACACTTTAGACTGTTTAGTGTGTTGACAATTTTATAACGCTTTCTGGATATAAATGGATGGTTCTACTGGTGTACACTCTACATCTTATCTTCAGGAATGGTTCACCGTATATGAGCACAATCGTCAGCCACGCTGTACAGTGTCTGACCTCATCATGGGAAATGAATATTACTTCAGAGTGTTCAGTGAGAACATAGTTGGGCTCAGTGACACACCCGGACTCTCCAAGAACACAGCCGTCATTGAGAAAACTGGTGAGTGCGAAATTGCAACAGAGTGGTTATGTGCAGGGGCGGACTGACTATTTGGAAACTCGGGCACTGCTCGAGGGCACAGGGTCAGTAGGGGGCCCCAAGAGATGCCCCTGGTACATTTTTCATAGGCTTTTTTGAGTTTGGGCAAGGACACAGGGGCCCCATGATCCCCTATTGCCCGGGGGCCCCATGAGTTGTCAGTCTGCCCCTGGTTACGTGCTAAGTCTTTGAAGAAATTCTGCATATATTCATACACCATAATTTTAGATGCATATTTTCATTGAGGCTGACTTTTTTTGGTCTCTTGCTGGTTCCAAAATTCCACAGCACAAAAACTTAAAAAAAAAAAAAAAACTGTATTTAAAAAAAAATGGGGGGGAGTTTTTAATATTTAAAGAAAATTGAGATTTTTTTTTTTAAATGAGGAGGAATTGGTTAAAAGCTGCTATGCAGTCCTGCACAAAAAATGTGCTCCTTGCTCTGCTCTCCCCCCTCCACTTTATCATTCTTACCAATAACACCATGTACGCTTGCAGTGATGTTCATCAGCGTTTGGACACTACCTTGGATAAGGAACAGGTTTTTAAAACCATTTGTAGAGCACAAACCCCTTAAAGAGAAACGGTAAAGAATGGACATTTTTTAATAACTTGAGACCCTGAGCCAGTTTCTTCATATGACACCCTTGCATCCCAAAGCAGTTTTGTTATCTTAAAACTTTTTATCTCTTTGGAAAATTGTAAAGCTATTCAGCCTTTGAAACTGCATGTACATTTGTTCTTTGCGAATGGGTAAAAAAATCAATTGTTTCTAGACTATTTTCTCTCCAGGATGAATGGTGTACACAGTAGAATGAATCAGGAAAATAGCACATTATGGCCACTAGATGGAGTATAGGAAATAATTATCACAATTGTCAGCTTGATCTAGCGGCCAAAATGCATTATTTTCAAAACAACTCTATTTTTATGAATTAATAATTATCGACATGGAGGGAAAAATAGCTTAACAACATTTAATATTGCCTCCTGTTTGCACAGAATGAATGTACATAGAGTTTCATAGAAAAACAAATAGCTCTGCAAATGTTAATTAATTATACCGCTTAGTGTTTACAGTCTAACCTGACAAACTATATATTTTTGGGGGGACAGATAAGCATTAGACATGAGTGATTTGTTTAGTTATGAATCAAAATTTGGATAAAATTTTTGTTATTCGGATGTATCCAAACTTGTGAAGCACAATAGTAATGAATTTCAATCCAAAATAAATTATAATGAAAACAATTCAAATTTGAAAATGCATTTGAATTTGAAAATGAATTTGAATTAAAAATTGAAACATATTGCAATAAATACAGTAAGGTAGTACAGTAAGTGAAATAGAAAAAGAATTATGATTCCTACTTAGGCTGCTTTATAGAATAGAAAATAATAAGATAGAATAGACTAGAAAGTTAAAAAAATAGAATAGAACAGAACATACTAGAATATAAAAGAACAGAATAGATACGAATATACAGAATAAAATAGAAAACAAAAGAATACAAGAATAAAAACAGAAAATAAAAGAATAAAACAAATTACAATAGAATAAATCAGAATAGAATGGAAAGTAAAGGAATAGAAAATAAAATAATATAAAATAGAATAGAACAGAAAAAATAGAATATATTAGAAAAGAATATAACGAATATAGCTGTCTTCCGAAATTCAAATTTTGAATTTTGAAATTCGAATCTTGAATTTCGAATTTTGAAAATCGAATCTCAAATCAATTTGAAAATAACGAATATACGAAACGAATTCCGAAAGCAAATAATTCTAACAAAACCAATATGACGAAATTAAATTATTAACTTAACAAACAAATCCAAAACGAAACAATTATTTTCTTCATACACATCTCTGATAAGGATTTAATTACATAGAAAATTTGGATGCATACATTCTTATCTAGGTTTTATTTAGAAAGAAGCAGTAAAAACTGATCAACAATTGCATTTCCTGTCATTTGTTCCCAAAGCAACTTTTACATCATTTATGCAGCCCAAGGCACTCAACTAAAATATGATCAAAGTCTTCTACATAAGAGGACATCACATAACTGATGAACTAAGTTGAAAAGCCAAGACCTTTTTATGTTTTAGATAGAATGTGGAAATATTAAAACCCTGGTCATGTTTTTTTTGCTGCCCATGTTTTACTGCTGACAGAAACACAGACAGAAATAAAGTGCTTTTTTCCTTATTTGAAATCTAAATCCCGTCAGATTTGTATTGTCTGTGTTCCTGTTGCAGATGTTCCTGCACTTCTTATTAGGTGAAACTGATGTCAGCAGAACAGGAGGCGAGGGTAAATCTCTCTAACGGAGCCTTGGATAGCAGTAAAAATGCAGCAGAAGTTCCAGTATTTAGAGCCCATTCCCACTTGTGCAACTTGGGGTCCAAAGTTGCATGACAAGTAGCACCCCATGCTTCCCAATGAGTACCATTCATATCTGTGTGACTTCAAGTTGCAGCAACTTGAAAGTAGTTCCTGCAGTACTTTGGTTCGACTTTCATGCAACTTGAGGTCTATAGACTTCAATGTAAATCCTCCAAAGTCACACCTGAATATTATACGTGTGACTTATGTGCGACTTTGTACAGCAGAAACAATCATCCTTGGTCAAAATAAAAGTCACACCAAAGTCGCAATGAAAATCACACCAATTTGAAGTCGCACAAGTGTGAATGGAGCCTTCTCCAACCTGTCAAACACTAGAAAAAAGACTTTGACTTGACCTACACCTCCTCTCTCTGATGCTTCTTTGCAAAGTACGCAGGAAAAAATATATATGTTCATGTAAATATTTTTGAATAAAATGAAGATAAATGTAAGTCTTCATGATATGATAACAAATTAGCAGGACAGTGGTGTTATCAGAGTGTTACAGTGGCTAAAACTACAAATGACATTGTCCTCCATTTTGAAAGTGTTTGGTGCTTGCGCAGTTAACCCGAATGTCATATAGTTCATCCAGCATAGTTGCTGGAACCTGAAGATTTATAGGAGAAATGAATATTTCTCTTTTTTTCTTGTTTGTATAATTTATTTCTTTTTAGGATTGTTGCAGGGAGAGGATGGACAGAGCTGTACCAGCCTCCACACACACTGACAGGAATGCTGTGGCATCACATGTGTGGGGAGAGTGGGATATACAGCTATTTGTAGCCCACCACACTGCATCCACAGTATATTAGCATATCCCATGGCTCTAAGTACCATCTCTATGCTGATGACATACAATTCTATCTCTCTACCCCTCACCTCACCCCTTTAGTCTCCTCTCGCATTACTAACCTACTAAGTGACATATCGGCATGGTTGTCACTTCACTTCCTCAAACTAAATCTTTCCAAAACTGAGCTAATACTATTTCCTCCAGCCTGTGCCCCCTCCTCTGACTTCTCCATCAAGATCAATAACACAATCATCAGTCCCTCCCCTCATGCCAGGGTACTAGGTGTATTCCTAGACTCCCATCTGTCCTTTCAGCCCCAAATCTAATTGCTGTCCAAATCTTATAGACTTCACCTCCGCAACATCTCCAAGATACGCCCGTTCCTAAGCCTCTGAAACCACTAAGCAACTTATTCACCCCCTTGTTATCTCTCGCCTTGACTATTGTAACTCCCTCCTCATTTGCCTACCTCATCGCAGGCTATCCCCTCTTCAGTCTATCATGAATGCTGCTGCCAGACTTATCCACCTTACTAACCGTTCTGTATCTGCCACCACTCTCTGCCAATCCCTCCACTGGCTTCCCATTGCCCAACAGATAAAATTCAAAACACTAACAATAACGTATAAAGCCATTTATAACTCTGCCCCAAATTACATCACCAATCTTGTCTCCAAATATCACCCAAATATCACCCATACTCTCTCCGCTCCTCGCAAGACCTCCTACTCTCTAGCTCCCTTGTCTCCTCCTCCCATGCTCGTCTCCAGGACTTCTCCAGAGCTTCCCCATCCTCTGGAACTCTCTACCCCAATTTATCAGACTATCGCCTACTCTGCTCACTTTTAGGCGATCTCTGAAAACCTATCTCTTCAGGGAAGCCTATCCTGCCCCAGCTAATAATGGAATCTTCTATTCCTCCTACCAGTCCATCCCCCACAGTTATTACCTTTTGTACCACTAGCCCCTCCCTCTTAGATTGTAAGCTCCAAAGAGCAGGGCCCTCCTTTCCCTCTTGTATTGAACTGTATTGTTGCTGTATTGTCTCCCGTTATATTGTAAAGCGCTGAGCAAACTGTTGGCACTATATAAATCCTGTATAATAATAATAATAATAATTAGCATTGTATAGCACAGATCTGAATTCAAAGGACAGGCCATGCATTATGGATGCAAAAAATCCAGTCCAGTGAATTTCTCTATTAATTGGCCTAGACTGCAATGTAGAGCCCTCCAAAATTTCTGCAAACCCATAATAGAAGCAAAATCATAACCTTATCCCTAATGGTGTTATAATGCTTTTTTTTATGGAGTAATATGTTAATTAGAAATGTTCAGAACAAAAAAATCGAATTTTGTTTCATTTCATTAATTAACTAATTTTGTTAGTTAAATGCGTCAAATTAATTTTTCGGAATTCATTTAGTTTCGTTTATTTGTTTTTGACCAAATTGAATTCAATTTGAATGAATTTGGAAAATTTGAATCTGCATTCAAATTTATTTTCATTCAAATGTGGCTGCCGAATTTTTTACATCTAAGAATTGCAATATGTTTATATTTCATATCCATTTTCAAATTCAAGTCGAATTCAAATTTCATCATTTTGGACAAATTTTGTTTTGTTATTTCAGAGGATTTGTTTACACTCGTTACTATTGTGATTTGGAATTCAGAAACATGTGAATTTCTGAATAACAAAAAATTTGTCCAAATTTCAATTCAGAATGAAATGAATCACACATGTCTAATGTTAATGTTGGAGAACTTAGATCATAAGAGCAAACACTTTACACTTACATATTTATGTAAGCAAACAAGTTCTTACATATGTGTTACAAATGACCATTTGCTTATTGACCAAAATTATCTTTTAACCACTTGCCCTCCACAGCATTTACCCCCCTTCCTGACCAGACCATTTTTTGCAATACAGCGCTGTGTTACTTTAACTGACAATTGCAACACTGCACCCAAATTAAATTTATGTCCTTTTTTTCCACTAATTGAGCTTTCTTTCGGTGGTATTTGACCACCTGTGCGTTTTTAATTTTTTTGTGCTATAAAAAAAAGGACAAATATTTTGAGAAAAAAACAAATAGAGCTTTCTTTCGGTTGTATTTGATCATCTGTGCATTTTCTATTTTTGCGCTACAAACAAAAAAAGACCGACAATTTTGAAAAAAAAAAAATATATATATATTTTTTACTTTGTATTCTGCAACATGTCTTTGCTAAAAAAAATCCCAATACATGTAAATTAATTGGTTTACGTGAAAGTTATAGCGTCTACAAATGGCAGTATATATATTGGAATTTTTTTTTATATTAGTAATGGCGGCAATCAGCAACTTATAGCAGGACTGCGGGACTGCGGTGGGCATTCTGACATTGGGTGGGAACTGACTAACTGACACTGACATCCCAATGACACTAATACAGTAATAATAAAATAAATACACTAATAAAAAAGCACTGACACTGTACTAATGACACTTGTCAGGAAGGGGTTGACATCTGGGGTGATCAAAGGATTAATAGTGTGCTGTTTGCTGTTTTACGTGATGTGCTGTGTGTGTTTTACATGGGAGACATGCTGCTGTGTATTTCTCTGCTGTGCAGAGAAATACACAGCAGCAAGTCCTTGCTGGCAGGAGAGAGACCTGTGTTTACACACAGGTCTCTCCCCTGTCAGTTCTACACAGCGCTCGCTGGGTGCCGGCGGGGAATCTATGTCCGAGACCCTGTGATTGTCATCCTTAGCTGCCAATGGCAGCACGGGTAGGGCGACACACGAGCGCACCCCCTACCTGGAAATGCAAATCACGTATATATATATATATATATATATGTGTGTGTGTGTGTGTGTGTGTGTGTGTGTGTGTGTGTGTGTGTGATTTTGTGCAGCCCTGCCACTCTGTAGCAGTATTTCTACTGTAGGGCGGTGGGAAAGCAGTTAATGGCTACATTGCATTGCTAATATATGAAAGCTAATTGGATGCCATGAATTACACAGGGGGGAATTTAGTAAAACTGGAGCACTCAGAATCTGATGCAGCTCTGCATGGTAACCAATCAGCTTCTAATGTCAGCTTATTTAATTAAGCTTTGGCACTAAAACCTGGAAGCTGATTGATTTCTGAGCATTGCTGCACCAGATTTTGCACCGTGCAGATTTAGTAAATAACATTATAACAAATGTCATTGGTTTTTATTTAATAACAATAACACTTTTGATTTATTTTCTACCTTTTTTGCTTTACAGGTCTAGTCTACAAGCCTCGTGACTATCAAGAAATGGATGTCTGCATGGCTCCTAAGTTCCTCACACCTCTTGTAGACCGCAGTGTAGTTGCTGGGTATAGCACAGCCTTAAATTGTGCTGTAAGAGCTCATCCAAAGGTACACAGCTGTCTCTGGTGAAACAGATCATGCCCCATGTATGGTACTTTTAAAAGCCTTCAGTGCTCTTCTACAGAGAAACCTTCAGTGACCTTCTACAGGGCCTTCAGTGCTCTTCTACAGAGATCGCCATGAAACTGATTATATTTTTTTTTATAAATGTCCCTTTTTACTGGTGCAAGGAATTTGCTGGCTGTAAATCATTTCGGAAACAAATACACATAAACTATTTAACATTACTTTTTTTTTAACACAAATGTTGTCAGAAAGTAGCGCTAACTTTCCTCAGAAAAATATGTCTCATAATGCATTATTTTTAAGGTCAATCCACCTAAAGAGATGTTTCAGTTATAAGTAAATTTATATGGAAGTCCCCAGCTGGTTTTTTACATCAAGTTTATTTCCAGCCATTTTTTTTGGTATAGTTGGAACGTTTAGAATATTTTCAGATTTTTAATCCTATCTGAAATTTTTTTGGTGAGATTTTTCCTTATTTTCTCTCCCGGTGACAACATTGTTACCCAGACAAGAAGTAAAGGGAAATCTCCAACTGTAACAAACAGCAGTAACAGAAAATATAAGAATAGGAGGAAGATTAAGGTAAGGTTTGAGCCCCGTCATTATTTGATTACTGTCAGTGTACCAACTGCAGATTTTCTTTCTCTTTGGTGCCAACATTTTCATTTCTCCCTATGTAACCTCTGACAGCATTAATAATCTGGCAAAAATCCTAACTCTTCTTTGCTGCATCCAAGCATACAAAAGCAAGTTTTGGTGAGAATTACACTTTATGGTCTACAGAAATAAGACTTCTGCCATGTACCTGGTGGAGGAGTTGTCGAGAAGGTTCCCTTACATGTCCTGTCCAATACCCCCTGTTGTTGGTGATTGGATGTAACAGGACAAGGAGTGGAACATGTGCCTGTGGTGGGTCCAGATATAATGGATGATCTGGAGCCAGCCTGGATACTGATGTGGTGCTGAAGAGGTTCGGACCATATCTGTACAGATTTCTGGTTAGGAGATCAAGCACAGGAATGCATAGAATCAGGAATCAGAATTGTAGTCAGGGTGAATAGGATTCAGTAACAACCAGGCAACAGAAATAACAATTTGGCAAGAACCAAGTAAACTAAGTCAGAGCCCAGGCCAAGGTGGAGATCAAACAGCCAGCAGAGGAACCAGTACAACAGGCAGAAGGTAAAGTCATGATGCAAGCCAAGGTAAGTGATGAAAGATATGGGAACAGAAGGAGGCAATCTGGGTCAAATACATGGGTTAATGTACTAAAATCAAATAGACTGTGCACTTTGCAAGTGCAGTTGCACTAACTTTCCTTATAGCTTAGTAAATGTGGTAAAGCTCTTCTGATGCATCATCCAATTATGTGCAAGCAAAAATGCAGGGTTTTTTTTTTTTTTTATTTCCTTGCACCCGATTGGGCATTCTTTACAAAGTGAAGCTTCAGATCATTTGCTAACTTCTGGGGAAAATGAGTGCAACTGCACTTACAAAGTACACAGTATATTTGTCTTTAGTAAACCCAGCCCACAGAGTAGCAGAAGCACAGGCCAGAACATAGAAGGCTTAGTTAGGTACTACAACTTTCTAGGTTGTGCAGAGCTTTAAAGCTGAACTTTGTGAAATTTCAGAAGTAACATTACAGTGAGACCTCTCCCATTAAATGGTTGTTTTTGTTTAGTTTAGCAATAAAAAGCAGTTTTACTTACCATATTCTTCTCTTCCCGGCTGCTGATACTCTACTCTACCTTGCTCCAGGTTGTGGGCAGGCCTGTGGCATTCTGAACTACAATACAGGACTGCTGCATTTTATGTGAATTTGTGTTTCTAAAGTTTTTAGTGTTTTACAATACTTTCAGGATGTTGCCTCCTGCATAGTTAGTGAAACATCTGACAGGTAAAGTGAGACCTCCTGTGAGGTCCCACCCTCCCTGAAAACTCAAGGTCAGAGAGACATAAGAAACTACCAAGTGATGTAAGTCCTGAATCTACCAAAAACAGAAATGTTCACAATACAAAAAGTCTAAGGCTACATTCGCACTTAGCTGGGTGTTTTTCAAACAGTTTTTCAAGCGTTTTTGAGCATATTTGCAAATAGTATAGATGTCTTTTCAGGCATTTTTCACTTAAGCGGTTTTGCTGTGACCAATAGAAATAGTTGCTGTTTGAGCTGAAAACACCTAAAAAAAAACGCTTGAAAAACACTTAAAAAAAAGAACGCTCATTCCCACTGTTCAGGTCTTTTTCATTCAAGTTTACGTGGACAAACACTCTGATCTGCCTGAAAAGTAACGTAACTACTTTTTTTTGCAACTGGTGTTTTGCTACAGGTGACAGAATACTTAAGTGTGAAGAGGGGCCATTGGAAATAATGGGATTTTACTTGTTGAGTGTTTCTGAGCGTTTCTGAGTGATGAGCTTCGGGCTGAAAAATGTTTAAGTGTGAAGGGGATCTAAAGGTGCTCATAGATGTTAACTGACCTTCTCTCAAACAGTCATTCTTAAAGTGCTTTTTCTTTGATGCAGCCTAAAGTGATCTGGATGAAAAATAAAATGGAGATTAGAGATGATCCAAAATTCCTCATGAAACATAATCAAGGGGTTCTTACCCTGAATATCCGCAAACCCAGCCCATTTGATGGTGGAACCTACACCTGCAAAGCCATCAACGAGTTGGGTGAAGCTGAAGTGGACTGTAGATTGGAAGTCAGAGGTAACATATGTAAATATTTTAAAATAGCGTTGGCTAAAAAATGCCAGTATATTGTTATGCTCAGGGGTCAGGGATCACTAGCACAGCCATATATTCACAAAAACAGTTTTAAGTTTTCCAAAAAGGCAAATAATGCCTCCAAGAGAAAATTGCTTTTTTTTTTTTCAGCACAATCTAAACCAGGGGTCCTCAAACTTTTTAAACAGGGGGCCAGTTCACTGTCCCTCAGATAATTTTGAAAAAAAACTAATATTTTTGACTTTTTGCTATAAAACATATCTAATAAAAAAAAATTACAAAAATAAAATTTCTTCATACATTTAGGCCAAAATGTATTCTGCTACATGTCTTTGGTAGAAAACAAATCTCAATAAGGGTATATTAATTGGTCTACATGCAAGTTATAGTGTCTACAAATGGTGTTTATATATACAGGAATTTTTATTTACTTATTTATACTAGTAATGGCGGTGATCAGCAATTTATAGCGGGGCTGCAGCAGGCATTCAGACACTAACTGACACTGGGTGGGAACTGCCACTGACATCTCCAGTGACACTAATACAGTGATCTGTGCTAATAAATAGCCCTGACACTGTACTAATGACACTGGGCAGGAAGGGGGTAACATCTGGGGCGATCAAATGGGTTAAAAATGGCAATCAAGGGGTTAATATGTATCTTACTATTGTGTGGGTGCAAATGTGCTGGTTGTATGTGTGGCGTGTCTTCCTTCTCTCCCTGGAACAGGGAGAGAAGATTCAGCTAGATTCTGTGCCTGAATTTACAAATACAAGCACAGCTCTGCTTCTCCATTTGTTGCAGGAGATCAGAAGAGTCCCAGCCAAAAAAAACTAAACCTGGAAAAACACAGCGACATACGGATACGTCGCTGGTCCTGTAGCTGCCGCCCATCCACAGTACATTGTGAGCGGGTGGTCTTTAAGTGGTTAATAGTGTCTCCCAATTCAGGACTTTACCTGCAGGAGGGGTATCACAGTCCCAGATGCTTTGGGGGTTCTCCATCAGAGCGGCAATCCTCAGGAGTGTTCTGCAATTCAGCAGTGTTTCACAGGCACCTGCCTAAACTCCCAAAACTACTCCATCTAGTCTTCTGTGGAATTTCACAAATATAAAAACCCCTCCTGCAGCTACATTAGCCATGTACTACCCCTTAAAGAATATATATATGCACAAGGGTTCTTCAAAATGTTTCCATACTTTTTAAGCAGTACAATTTTGTAATACATTCACATTTTTTCCAATTGTGGGCTGACAACTAGAGATGAGCGAATCGAACCTGGCGAAGTGGAATTCGTTTCGAATATCAGGAAAAATTCGATTTGCATCGAATCCGAATTTTAGCAAACTTCGGGTGCACGAATCGAATTTTTCCCGATCAGCCGGCAAAAGTGTCACTGCAGAGAGCTCCGCTATTTCTGACAGTTCTGACAGTTCATTTACAGCGGTTGAAACATTGTATCTATTTGTTTCCATTTAGGATACAGATGTTTTTATTCAGAAATAAATAGATACAATGTTTCAACCGCTGTAAATGTGAAGGAACTGTCAGAGAACTGTCAGAAATAGCGGAGCTCTCTGCAGATACACTTTTTGCTGTACTGGAATTCTTCTTCTTTTCATTCTTCTTCTTCTTTTCATTCTTCTTCTTCTTTTCATTCTTCTTTTCATTCTTCTTCTTCTTCTTTTCATTCTTCTTCTTTTCATTTTTCTTTCTTCTTCTTCTTCTTTTCATTCTTCTTCTTCTTTTTTTCTTCTTCTTTTCATTCTTCTTCTTCTTCTTCTTTTCATTTCTTCTTCTTCTTCTTTTTCTTCTTCTTTTCATTCTTCTTCTTTTCCTTCTTCTTCTTCTTCTTCTTTTCATTCTTCTTTTCATTCTTCTTCTTCTTCTTTTCTTCTTCTTCTTCTTCTTTTCTTCTTCTTTTTTCATTCTTTTCATCTTCTTCTTCTTCTTCTTTTCATTCTATTCTTTTCATTCTTCTTCTTCTTCTTTTCATTCTTCTTTTTTTCTTCTTCTTCTTCTTTTTTCTTCTTCTTCTTTTCTTTTTTCTTCTTCTTTTCATTCTTTCATTCTTCTTTTCATTCTTCTTTTTTTCTTCTTCTCATTCTTCTTTTCATTCTTCTCTTCTTCATTCTTTTTCATTCTTCTTTTCATTCTTTCATTCTTCTTTTCATTCTTCTTTTCATTCTTCTTTTTCATTCTTCTTTTCTTCTTTTTCATTCTTCTTTTCTTCATTCTTCTTCTTCTTCTTCTTTTCATTTCTTTTCTTCTTTTCATTCTTTTCTTCTTCTTCTTCTTCTTCTTCTTTTCATTCTTCTTCTTCTTCTTCTTTTCATTCTTCTTCTTTTCATTCTTCTTCTTCTTCTTTTCATTCTTCTTTTCATTCTTTCTTCTTCTTTTTTTTCATTCTTCTTCTTCTTCTTTTCATTCTTCTTTTCATTCTTCTTCTTCTTCTTTTTTTTCTTCTTCTTCTTTTCTTTTCATTCTTCTTTTCATTCTTCTCATTCTTCTTTTCTTTTCTTCTTTTCATTCTTCTTCTCATTCTTCTTTTCATTTTCATTCTTCTTCTTCTTCTTTTCATTCTTCTTTTTTTCATTCTTCTTTTCATTCTTCTTTTCATTCTTCTTCTTTTTCATTCTTCTTTTCATTCTTCTTCTTCTTTTCATTCTTTCTTCTTCTTTTTCTTCTTTTCTTCTTCTTTTCATTCTTCTTCTTCTTCTTCTTCTTCTTTTTCTTCTTTTCATTCTTCTTCTTCTTCTTTTCATTCTTCTTCTTCTTCTTTTCATTCTTCTTCTTTTCATTCTTCTTTTCATTCTTCTTCTTCTTCTTCTTCTTCTTCTTCTTTTCATTCTTCTTTTCATTCTTTTCATTCTTCTTTTCATTCTTCTTTTCATTCTTCTTTTCATTCTTCTTCTTTTCATTCTTCTTCTTCTTCTTTTCATTCTTCTCATTCTTCTTTTCATTCTTCTTTTCATTCTTCTTTTCATTCTTCTTCTCATTCTTCTTTTCATTCTTCTTCTTCTTTTCATTCTTCTTTTCATTCTTCTCATTCTTCTTTTCATTCTTCTTTTCATTCTTCTTCTCATTCTTCTTCTTCTTTTCATTCTTCTTCTTCTTCTTTTCATTCTTCTTTTCATTCTTCTTCTTCTTCTTCGTCGTGCCCCGTGACTGCCCAAATGAGTGAAGTGTGCGGTGATTCTAAGATCGACGGCACTCATCTGCATGTCATACTGACTGACAGTATTATTTCTCTTCCCCAGCAGACTCCAAGGGCATTTAAATTAAAGGTACAGTGTTCTGCACTAATATAAAGGCTTTCTGAAGCCTAGAAACCCTTTTAATAAGTTAAATTTGCGGCGAATAAATTTGCATCGAATCGAATTTCTCCCGCAAATTCGGCGAATCAGCCGAATCGAATTTTTGAATAATTCGCTCATCTCTACTGACAACACATAACATGTTTATGGATTGTTGTCAGCCACGCCCAGTTTTCTTTTACCAAACTACTTAGACCCACCTATTCTCCCATGTCCACAACATAGGAGCTAATCATTAGTAGTCACAAGATAAGGAAAGAGGGCTAATTACTCTTTATTATTATTATTCTTTGGCAATATCAAACTGATGAAAAAATGCTATTGAGGTACACACACACACGCACACACAAAAACCAATATATTGCATATTACCATAAATTAAAAGTGGTGGCTGCATTAGCTTCATTAGGCTTTTTGTTTCCTTTTTTCACCAAGTAATCCAGCCAGTACATGTTTTGAAATTTGAACAGATCTGCAGGGACCAGGGCGGACTGACCATTTGGGCACTGCCCGAGGGCCCCGGGGTCAGTAGGGGGCCCCATGAGACGCCCCTGGTACCTTTTTCATAGGCTTTTTTGCATTTGGGCAAGGACACAGGGGCCCCATGATCCCCTATTGCCCATGAGTTGTCAGTCTGCCCCTATTTTCGATCCATCTACCAAATTTCAATCCATCTACAGTCTTGCTGGTCATTTTCAAGAGCAGTCAATGTACTGATGAACTGTTCACGAAGGGGCTTCAATCAGCGCTGCAGCTGACTCCTTCACTGTTAAAAAACAATGACACAGTGGGAAGGATTTTTGCATCCACCTCCCTCGAGTGTGTGGATGGGGTGATCAGTTTAGTTTTTGTTTATCCAGTCCACTGACTGAATGAAAAGAGTGAGTAATGTATGGCCAACTTAAGTCTGTTATTTTTCAACTTCCTTTAACCACTTCCCGTCCAGCCGCTGTATATAAACGGCCGGACGGTGGCAGTGCAGGGGCAGGTGGCAGTTCATAAACGGCGCCCGCCATTGTGCTTGGTCGTGGGGAGTGCGCGGCACCACGATCCGGTGCCTGCTGTGTCAGGATGACCTCTGTGTGAGGTCCCGATCATGTGATCACTGATTGGCCAGTCAGTGATCACATGAATAGGTGTAAGCAAGATGTCACTTCTGACATCATTGCTTACTATGTGTGAAATCTGTAAATGATCACAGAGGTCACATGGTACAAGGCTATTCACAACAGCCTTGTACCATGTGACAAGCTGTGACCAATCACAGCTCTCACAGTATTTCTCAATGACTGCAAGAATGCAGTCAGAGAGAAAGAGAAATGATTGCTTTTACAGCCTTTATGGGCTATGGTATAGAGGTACACGTATGTTTGTCGGTCACCAACACATATGTAGAGTGGTATATTCACTCATTAGAGGCAGCACAGCAATTATTTATGTTAGTCTTTATTCATTTATTTAAACCTTTATTTCAAAAGGAAAAAAAGGTTGTTGTAACTGCTTGAAATGTGTTAGCTTGAGCATTATTCAAGTCCGTTTAAATCTGCTAGTGCATATAATACTACCCTTTCCACAGATTCACTATGCTGCTGTCTAAAGGTGTCTCTGTAGCTCCTCATCCAGAGTGGAGACACCCTAAGATAGGAAATGTGTCACTGGCCAGATCACTGGGTGAAGATTAAAAAAAAGCCTAAAAAAATTAAAACTAATGCAGTCACCACAAATACAGTTTGATAAAGTGAAATATATCAAAGGTTCAGTTTCACTTTAGCGGGCCAGAATGAGGTCAAATATGTATCTGTATTTGAAATGGGTTTCTGTCATATAAGTGCATTAACTATATTTTTCCTTTCTCAATACAGTTCCCCAGTAATCCTATCCTGGATCGATAAGC